GAGAGAGAGAGAGAGAGAGAGAGAGAGAGAGAGAGAGAGAGAGAGAGGTAGAGAGAAAAAAAGAGCTGGGATCAAAGGCATGTGTCACCACTCTTGGGACAAATGTATTTTTTAAGTAGGTAAACTTTAAAGACTGATTACTACTGAAGAAAGAAGTGAAGGAGAATCCTTTTTATCCCTAGGTTACTGTCACTAGGGGCAAGGTTATATTCATTTCTTTTCTTCTTCTTCTTCTTTTTTTTTTTTGAGACAGGGTTTCTCTGTGTAGCCCTGGCTGTCCTGGAACTCACTCTGTAGACCAGGCTAGCCTCGAACTCTCGAACTCAGAAATCCGCCTGCCTCTGCCTCCCAAGTGCTCATTTCTTTTTAAGTTCAAGAAATCATTATTAGGCTAGCCTGGTCTACAGAATTGAGTTCCAGGACAGCCAGGGCTACACAGTTGAAACCCTGTCTCGAAACAAAAAAAAAAAAAAAAAAAGAAAAAGAAAAAGAAAAAAAAAGAAATCATTATTAAAAAACAAAGGAAAAAAAAGAAATCATTATTAAAAAACAAAGGCAAAAATCTGGACCAAGCGGAGTGTGTACACTTTAGAACCCCAGGACTTGGGAGGGAAGAGGCAGGTAGATCTCTGTGTGTCTGACACCAGCCTAGTCTACATAATGAGTTCCAGGTCAGCCATTGCTACATAGTGAGATCCTGTCTTTAGATAAATTCTAGGGTAGAGGTGGGAAGGGCCATCTCTAAAACAAGCTTAGGTTACCTTGATAAGGAACACTAGATCTCACGGTATTTTGCTCTTCTAACTGTGAATTTAGTGTCCAAGACAAGAGGCTATGACTAACGAGACTCTATCTGTGGAATTAACTTCTGAGTCTTCAGTACCCAGAGGGGACCTTCGTTTACTGTAATAATACAAAATAAATACCAGCATTTTCACGTCCCAGAAGAAAGTACTGGCAGCCTTGTCTAAGATTGTATGCGCAGTGCCTTGGAGCAAGAACCCATAGTGCTCCACAGGTTTAAGTCTCAGCTGGTTAGGTTTTGGTCGACAAGACACAAGGTGAGGGTCTATTGAGAAAATGCCTGCATCAGATTGGCCTCTCGGCAAGTCTGTGGGGGCATTTTCTTGATTAATGATCGCTACGGAAGGGCCCAGCCCACTGTGGGCGGTGACATACCCGAAGTCCCTGGTTTGTAGAAGAAAGCAGGCTAAACAAACAAAACAATGGGGAGAAAGCAAGTAAACAGCATTCCTGTATGATCTCTGCTTCAGTTCCTGCCTCCAGCTTTCTGCCCTGCTTGAGTTCCTGCTTTCACTTTCTTTGAGAATGGGCTGTGATTTTTGACATTCTCTGTAGTCCTCTCCCTAAATTGCTTCATGTGTTAATCCCAGCAATAGAAAGTAAGTTAAGACACAGCTCTCGAGTTCAGTGATTCTGGTCGCAGCCCGGAAGAAACCTATTGCCAGTAGGAGGGCCCACGAGAGGACCTGTCGCTGGTATTGGGGCGAAGTCGGGCAGGTGAGTTGGTAGGTGTGTCGCTGCCCCGCCCCGGACCAGCGGAGGCGCGGTCTGGGAACGCCCTCCGCTGCTGGGTGACTCAGGGAGCGCGCGCGGAAAACAACCTGGCTTTAGAGTGGCAACTGACAAAGGCGGGGGGCGCGCTCTGCGCGTGTACAGCAGTCAGAGGAGCTTCCCAGAGCCCAGCAGCCCGAGCCCAGCGGGTGTGAATGACACCGGAGGCATCAGGCGCGTGCGCGGTGAGTCCAGCCCGGCGACAGGATGCCGCCAGGAGGGCTGCGGGGAAACAGCTGCTGGACAGATAAAGTGCGAGTGGTTGGTGGTGGTGGTGGGAGGCAGAGAGGCAGGGTGTGGCCAGATCCCAGGCCCCACGGTGCTGGATCTCCAGCCTCTTAGGAGCTCGAGCCATCAGATTCAGGTGGCTCCCCCGAGCCTCTTTCTGGGTGGGAGAAAGGTCCTGAAAAGTAAGCTATACTAGAGCAAAGGATAACTGTTCTGTTTCTTATCTCGCTACCTGGGTCGGATGTGAGGCGGCTTTTAATAAGAAACCATTCATTAAAACAAAGGAAAGATTCAAAGGACCATAAAGAGTCCTGGCTAAGAAATCGAGTAGTCCGGCAAGGCCTGGGAAGAAAGGATAAGAAATTCAAGACGGGTTGAAGGGATAATTGGCTTGGTAGAAAAGTGGTTGTCAGATCTGGGTCTACAAAGTAGAACTGGCTTCTGTGTGCTGGCAAGTTGGAAGTGGAGAAGCGCACCCCTAGCGCAGGTGCTGGTTCTTGGTCCTCTGGAAGTCAGTGGTCCGGCAAAAGAGCTGTCCACTAGCCACTGCCCACCCAGGCAGAATCTCTCAGAATCTTTGAGAACAGTGAGAACAGTTTGTTCCTTGGGTGTGGGAGGGCGGGAGAGAGTGCCAGCCAGCCAGCGGCGAAGTAGGCAGCCTCCTGACCACCTATACGATCTGGGAAGCCCAATTTGCCCTTTTCTAGGTCCTGTACTTTGCCCTCCAGTTTGTTTTGAGTGTAAAGCTTGGTACCTGGCACACAGTAGATGCTCAACAGAAGGACTAATGCCAATAATCCGAGCAAACACCGCTGTGCCAGTTAGGCAGGACCTGGAAGGAATTAGACTGTGTACAAAATAACATAAAATGAAAACTTTAAAAAGTGTGTATGCGAGCGGAGCTGAGGAGATCGGGAACCGGGCAAAGCCTTGCAGGCGTGACTATACGAAATTGGATCCCCAACACCCACTTAAAAGAGTCTTGCTGGGGAGTCTGTAACTCCAGCCCAGGGAGTGGAGTCAGGCCGAGATAAAAGGGATTCCTGAGGCTTGCTGGCTAGCCACTTTAGTCAGATAGGTGAGCTGCAGGTTCAGTGAGAGATTTCCAAATAAAAAAATAAGTAAGTAAGTAAGTAAGTAAAGTGGAGAGCGGCTGAGGAAGACATCCTACCGCGATCTCTGGCCTCCACACACATAAGTGTACAAATGAAAGTATAATAAAGTCAATGATATCGTTCGTGACTAGCAAAACACAGCACATACCCTGGTGAGAGAGTACCTTCCATAAGGGTGCAGTGAAGCACTTCGTTCACTGTTTTTAAGGTACTTGTATTTATTTTGATTATGTGTATGTGCGTGCCTGTTTGTAGGTATGTGCTTGTGAGTGCAGGAACTCCCTGAGGTCAGATACCTCCCAATCCCCACGGAGCTGGAGTTACAAGTGGTTGTGAGCTGAGAGACATTGGCGAGGGGAACCGAACTCAGCTCCTCCAGAAGAGGATCCAGCATGCTTAATCACTGAGCCCTCTCACCAGCCCCTCAATTCACTATGTGACCCAAAGTCAAAACTAAAAGTGGAAACTACCAGATACTCTAACAAAGGTGGTCCCTAGGTGTCACTTGCCTCTTTTGAATGGAGCCAGAACTTTACAGTGTGTTTTTAAAGGAAAGGAAAGAGGGCATGAACTGGGACCTGGCAGCACCCGTTTTTTGCCCAGGCTCATTGAATTTCTGCCAGGGCACAGGATTCGCCAACAGCTGGCTCGACTCTCTCTTGGATCAGCAGATTACTGCAGCAAACAGTGCCTTGGTTGATTCTGCTCTGGCTCAAATCAATGGCTGTTTTATTTAACTATGGAGAGAGGGGTCTGTTGTCTGAGCACTGTCACCAAGGCAGCATGGCATTTACCAGGCTTGACAGTCCACCGCCTGGCGCTTGTTTATTGACGGGCTGAAGAACTTTAAATCTGTGGACCTGCAGTTGGGAAGACACGGACTGGGCAGACCCACTGATCTATAAAAAGACCTGCTTTTAAAAATATACTGCATGGTCTCCTTTCTCTACCCCCTTCAACCTTCCAGGTAGAGCCAGGGAAATCTGGTCAAGGCTAAATAGCTGTTGTTTAATTTGGGTTAAGACACATACCACCTGTCTGACCATGTATTTACAAAGAGAAGAGAGGTGTCTTTGCTCAATACCCTTTCTGTATCATTCTCTTCTTAATTCACAGGGTTTTTTTGTTTGTTTGTTTTTGGTTTTTTTTGTTTTTGTTTTTTGTTTATTTTTAGCACAGTGATTTTGGTAACTTTCTTTTTCTGGCTTTATGCTATGATTTTGTTCCACAGTCCTTTGGTTGTAGGTTTTTTTCTGGGGGGGGGTTTAAAGTTTTTTTAAAATTATGTATATAGTGTTTTGCCAGCATGTACACCTGCAGGCCAGAATGGGGCACCAGACCTCACTATCGATGATTATGAGCAACCATATGGTTGCTGGGAATTGAACTCAGGATCTCTTGAAGAACAGACAGTGCTTTTAACCTCTGAGCCACCTCTCCAGCCCTGGTTGTGTTTTATTATTTTGTGTGTATAGGTGTGCAGCCTGCCTCTATGTGTGTCTGTGCACCATGTGTGTGCAATGCTCCCAGCAGCCAGAAGGGAGCATTGTTTTGAACTGACATGTAGGTTCTGGGGACTGAATCCAGGTCCTCTGGAGGAGCAATCAGAGATCTTAATAGCCAAACTACTGCTCCTGCCCCTCCCTCCTAGTTGTTTCTAACATTTTGAATTTTCTTTCCTTTTCCTTTTGGTTTTTTTCAAGGCAGGGTCTCACTATGTATCTCTGGCTATCCTGGAACTCTTTATGTAGACTAGGTTTGACTCAAACTTTACAGAGAACTGCCAGCCTCTGCCTCCTGAGTGCTGGGATTAAAGACATGTGCTGCTATAGCAGGCTTTAATGATCGGATTAGACCTTTTATACTATAAACTTTAGCCCTTAATAGAGGACCATTTATAGCATGCATATTTCCTATTTTAATAAGATGCCCTTCTTTATGTGATGACAGTTGCATACCCGCCCCCATACCTCCCCAAGACCAACTTACTACATTCCATAACAGACTTTTTGAGAAACGATTTATAGGACAATTACATCAAAAACTCCTAGACATTTGTTAAATGCTTCAGGACAGCCCATTGAATCAGAACTTTCTGAAGGGAATTCTGTGCTTAATTTGTATGTGTCTCTGGTGATTCACATACCCTGTGGTTACCTGCGTGCCATGGAGTGGTGGTTAGTGTGGAGAGCTCTACCCTCTTTGTCACACCCTTTTCTGTTGTTACTTAGAGCTGTGATGAGCAAGAGCCTTTTTCATAACTTACATACATTAAAGATGTTGTTCAAGAAAGTATATCAGTGGCAAATAAGAGCTGGAAAGAGTATTCAAGGTTATCAACCCCAGAGAAACAAGAAAGGCTGACTGTGCCAGTGTTGACCAGGAGGCAGAGCAGATCCAGTTCACACTGCTGGTGGGAATGTCAAACCAAAGGCTGCTTTCTAAAGAGCTTAACATTTCCTTATAAGTTAAGGTCTCCTACCATGTGACCCAAACATTCTACTACTACTAAGTTTGGCCCTATGGTAACAGAAGAACCAGTTAGGTAACAGGAAACAACCAGTTGTTTATCCAGTACATTGCTAATCATAGTGTACAGAGAAACATATAACACAGACACCCATATCATATATATGCCCACAGCAGCCTGTGTATAGCCATAACAGAATATTATGCAGCTGTAAAGAATGATGAGATATTACTATATGCTACTGTGTGGTTAGAGCTCAAAATAATTTTTTTCTGAAAGAAAGAGGCAGCCATAGAGAGTGCACAGCATCTAGTTCCTTTTTGTATAAAAATCAAGGGGAATTGCCAGTTGTTCCCTGACCTCAAACTCTTTGATGTCTTCTGAGAAAAATCAAAGACGTGTGTAAGAGCATAGTAGTCTTAGTGTCATTGGCGATTTACCCATGGTTCTTTGTGTTTATCTATATCGTTTATTCAGTTTATTGAATGAACCACCAAATAATTAAACAAATAAGTAAATTTGTTATTGAGAACAGGGATGATTCTTTGGAAAGGGCATTGGAGTCAAGGAAGACCTGTCTAGATGTTTTGGTTTTATTTGTTTTGGTTTTTCAAGATAAGAGTTTCTCTGTGTGGCCCTGGCTGTCCAGAAACTCACTCTGTAGACCAGGCTGGCCTTGAACTCAGAGATCTGCCTGGCTCTGCCTCCTTAAAGACGTGCACCACCACCACCCAGCTCTGATTTTAGTTCTCAGTTATTTATTATAAGGCATCATAATCTTCTTAGGACTGAGCATGCCTTAGGCTACAATATTAATTAATTAATTGTACTGTGTGTGTGTGTGTGTGTGTGTGTATGTGTGTGCAGGTGCACATGCCCGGCTGTTCTGTAGACAGATTTTTTTTTCTTCTGGTGTTAGACATCAAACTTAGGGCCTTGCACAGGCTAAGCACAAGACCTACCCTTGAGCATACAGCCCAACCCTTGTTCCCTTCTCAAGATTTTACTAGAGATATACCTATTGATTAAATTCTATTTATTTAGGTTTTTTTTTTGTTTTTTTGTTTTTGTTTTTTGTTTTTTGTTTTTTGTTTTTCAAGACAGGGTTTCTCTGTATAGCCCTGGCTGTCCTGGAACTCACTCTGTAGACCAGGCTGGCCTCGAACTCAGAAATCCGCCTGCCTCTGCCTCCCAAGTGCTGTGATTAAAGGCATGCACCATCACTGCCCGGCTTATTTAGTTTATTTGTATGAAAATTTGCCTGTATTTATGCCTGTGCACCACACCTGTGCCTAGTACCCAAGGAGGCAAGAAGAGATTATCCCCTGGGACTGGAGTTACAGACAGTTATGAGCTGCCCCGTGGGTGCTGG